CTGACGAGTTTGAGATAAAGTCAAAGACTAAGAGATTGAGATGGACTCAATGTCAACCACTTGGAGAGATTTTCGGGAATCATCAAGCAACAAAGATAGAGAATTCACCTCTCGGTCTACTAACTCACTATCTACAGAGTAACTCGTCAATCTCTCGATCTATTCAAGTTAACCCTAGGTGCATAAAGAACGCTATCATCAACCCTAGATCGATTAAACCATATCTCTATGTGAATAATACGATCTATCCTATTGATTTTGATCCGAAACAAACCCATATCTCTATGTGGTTCAGAATCCAAGATAATTGATCAAGGGGTTAGCAAACATCAATCCAATAAAAGTGCAAATCAATAGAACCGAATCAAATCAAAACCGAAATCCAAGTTAGGGTTCAAACATATCCAAAACACATACGAATCCCTAACCCATAGTCGTGGATCTACTCACGGTTCATAGAAAACAACAAAAAGCTCATAAAGAAAGAGGTAAAAGAGAGGAAAGAAAGTCTCATGTCGATGTCTAGTCTTCACGATCGAATCCTCCTTCTTCTTCCCGAAATCCCGTGAACTTCTATTCTTCTCTCCCCAAAAGCTCTCCAAAAATCTGTATCTAAGTGTTCTCTGAGGTTCTCCCTTGTTCTAGGACGTGGCTAGGGCTTTTTTATAACCCTAGGGCGGCTCCCAAGAGTCCTATTCCCATTCAGATGCTGAAAATCGCGAAACAGGGTTTTAGACTGGATCCGGACCGATTCCAGGTGGATCCGGACCGGATCCAGATTCCTGGGGTCAAATTCTGCGTCCTTGATCCGGACCGGATCCAGTTGGATCCGGCCCTGCGTTGGCAGTTTTCTGGTCTTCACGAATTCGCTCATAACTCTCTGCTCCGGTGTCGGATTTACGCGATTTTGGTGTCCACGTGAAGCTCTTGAAGTGATCTTTCCAATGGTATAAGTCTCGCACGATTTGGACCTCTGTAGAGAAAGTTATTGATGTCGCAACATGAGCATCTCATCCGGACTTCTCCTTTAACATTCCAATTAGCTCCTTTTCGAGTCCAATCATCTTCGAAACCTGTAACTCTGCAAAACTAGAGCACAACCGGGTTTTGTATCCTAACACGCCTAGAATGTCTATGAATGCATGTGATTATCATGTAAAACCTAGACAAACTCTCATCAAAATATAGAGAAGAATAGGAGTTATCAGTGCCGAAGAGTGATCAATATGTGTTGGTTGATGTCGATTAGCTTTGGAACAGTCTCTATTCTTCGAGAGTTAGCATGGATCTGACATTGTCAAACGATGGAAGGGAGATTTTTGCTTGATGACATTGACAATATTGTCAAACTTCTCGTTGAGCCCGTTGAGCATGTGCATCACAAGTGCACAGACTGCAACATCAATGTTGGAGAGTAGATCCGAGAGTTTCCTCCACTCCTGACAATACTCATGAATGGTGAGGGCACTGATATTGAGATTGTGCAGTTCATGTTCAATCTGAATGGCTCGGACTTCTTTGTTGTCCCAAAATTGATTCTTGAGGCATGTCCATAGAGTGTGTCCCGTGCTTTTCTTCTTCAGCACGGTTGTGACAAAAGATTGAGATATCGTCCCATAGATCCATAGCTTGAAAAGACCATCGATCCTTGTCCACTGAGTGTCTTCTGTTCTGGACGACTGTGTAGTGTCGTCAGATGCCCCATTACTCTGAAACTGAGGCAGTGATTTCAAAGAGTTCGCGCCATGCATCGTAGTTGAATTCATCCATGTTGAATTCACACCGAACGGTTTTTTCGACTGTGCGGTGTGGGTTGCCATTAGTGAAGGGAGAGATAAGACGACATGTGAGAATGAAAGAAGAAGAAGAAAGGTTGAAGAAGATGATGGTGGAGCAGTATCAAGAGAAGAAAGAATAAGGTGGCTCTGATACCATGTAACTTTGTATATTTCCCTTTAGGGTTTGTAATGTCATTCATACAAAATATATACACATTCGAGTATTATGGAAACATGACGTATATGGCAATACAATCAAGAGAATGCATAATATCTTCTATCGAGCATAATGTCTACTATCACGAATGAGTACATTCTGCATTTTACGAAACCAAAATCTGAAACTTCTCAAACTAACTAAGCCAGACGAGATTAAGCTTACTTTGAGCATCTTCAGACTATCACATTGGCCACGGGAGAAATCTCGGGGTATTGGATTGAATCCAGAACACAGAAAGATTATACTAGTAATGTCAATTTGATCAATCCAATCTATTTAAACCTAACCCAAATAAATATATATATATATATATATAAATATTATTTGACTCATATTCAATCCAGATTCAGTTAACATATTTAGTTAACATATTTAACTCAAGGCATTTGACGTATACCTCACTATCCATTGATCAAAAAGCATTGATCACAAACAACCGAGAAAGATGATAGAGAAACTGATCACTTAAAGCATAGAGCAAAAAGTAGTGAAGACACTGGATGATATGAATAAAAGCCAGACTAATTTGTGAATATTCCCATAAACCCACCTGAAATCAGCTGTTTTTCCACGAACCCATTTGACCAGATTCACAAATTATGAAGAAAATATGGATGCAGACCAACTGCTCTCTTATTTTGACCAACCCACATACTCCATCAGCAAAGAGTTTAGGGTTAGACACTTTCCTTCCATAGGCACTCATTATTCTGTCGTGATCTGAGGTTTACCGAAACGGTAGCAGAGAGAACCTGCGAATCGGTGTCTCTGCCATTTTCAGGGGGAAATTTTAGAAATAACCACTTCGTGTTGCAACAATTGCTCGGCTACCCTACAAAAATATAAACATTTAGTTAAAGTCTATTTTATCCTTCATTAAACAGGAAAAAACGTCCAAACCCTCGATGAAAGAAGATGTGTTAAATAAAATACACGAGCAGAAATTAAAATGACAACTACCTCTTATTTTACCTTCTTTCAATATGAAGTTTCTCCATTTACTTTTTAGGTTAAAATTATTCATTCAGATTCGAAACCGACCATGTAGAGAAAAAGAGGGAAAGTGAGAGAGAAGAAGGGGATCAACACAAACCACTGAAATCTACCAAAAATCACTGAAATACTAAGATTCCAACCCAAAATCCTAAAGCATCAAAACCCTAGATTACTGGAAACTAAAAAGATGGGGAGAAAAACTTCATCAAATGAGAGACGAGCATTCGAGTGAGAAGAAGATGTCTTCTTTAAGGCTGTCCAAAAGCGGAAAGCCTAGGAGGTTGAAGAGAGCGACTTCTTCTTTTGAAAAAGCGGTAATAATTTTTAGAGTTACTTTCAGATATATAGGTTTTGGATTTAGCTTTTAGGTTTTTACGGGTTTGTTATAAAAAAACTGTAATATCGTAAAATCAAAATGAGTCCTGAATTAGTGTTGGAAAAGAAATTTTTAGAAAGGAATATGCGTAATATGCGTAAAGAAATCGATACCTACTGTAGAGTAGTCGAGAGTACTACAAAGTAGTCTTAGTAACTTATCGTATAAGGATAAAAAAAATTTTGAATCGTTTTCTTGCAGATGGGTGATACATTAAAACTAGAATTCTATTTTGAGTTTGATGACATGAACAAGATATCAGTAAATGTATCCTCCAAATGCCTTTACATAGAAGTGCTGGACTTTTTGGAAACGTATATGACTGTTTAAGAGATTGTGTACTTCACCCAGAAGTCACCATTAAGACGTCTTCCACCTGAAAAAGAAGCATACCTTGAAGATGAGTTTAATGGTGTCACTTATCAACAAAACAGTTAGAACAAAGAAAGGCAATGAGTTATGGTTTGTGATGAACGGAGTTCCAATTTGCTACTCCTTGGTTTAACATGCTCTTATCTCGGGTTTAGATTGTTCTGAATTGACTAAGAATTGGGAGAAGATTGGTGGTCCTAACTTCTATATAAAGTACTTTGGAGAGAGTAAATTTGAAAAGGTTGTGAGAACAAAAGTTATGAAATATTTTCAAAAATTACCTGAATCTGAATTTGACGATAGGATAAAGATGACATATTTGGTATTGTTGAGTTATGTGATAGGGAACCATCATTCGAATTATGAGAATCCATTCCTTTTGAAGATCATCAATGATGCCAAGGCTGAAACATTCTCATAGGGGAGGTTCAGCTTTGAGAATGTTGTCAGTTTTGTCCATAATTATCTAAACGTGCATAATACACTAGTGAGTTAGTGGAATTTACTAGGTTTCGTTATACCACTAACGGTACGTGATACAAAAAAATCATAAAAAAATAGTAGTGAAGAAAGACATTATTAATATTGTGTATTTCAATTTGCATATGTTACCGTTCAAGTGTATTCCAAGACTGTGTCAGAGTGAATGACATAGTGACATAACATTGGAAGGACATGTCCAACGAACATATCCACGAATGTGCAGAAAATGCTACATTCTAAACAAAAATATGGGATGAAACATGGATTGTTAAAGATGGGCAGAACACGGGTATATACATGTTTCTGAAAAAGTAAATATTATCGCAAAGTAATTGTATTGAAGTAGTTAATAGTTATTGCAAAGAATAAGTTGTAAAAGGAGATGGTTGATATATTTGAACTGGTGTTGTAGGATATTGATAGCATTCTGGTGGCAACGGAAGATGAATTACCTTTGATTGAAAATATACGATATGAAGACAACGAGGATGAGATGATTGATAGTTGGATGAAGCGTTTAGTAAATGATCCAAAATCTATACGGTGGAAGGACATCCTTGAAGACGATGTAAAATCGTGCATAGTAGGTCCGAGGATAAAAAATAGAATATACCAACCATTTCTGCAAAAAAAACCCAAAAGAAAAAAACCACAAAAGAAGAAGAAGAAACAATAAATGAGTTGAAATTTGATGTCAATCACTTGAAGGGGATGATTGGATTTCTGAGCAGACAAGTGGTTGTAATGATAGAATACTTGACTGAAATCAAGGACTACTTGGCAGAAACACACAAAAAGTTATTTGAAGCAATTCAAGAACAATGTGAAGAAATGAAGAAATTGGTTGCTGATGGTATAAACGCAGCGGTAGCCTGTCTGGAGCCAAATGAGCAAGACATGAGGAGTCCAATAATGATGATGTATTTAGAGGCATACCTTAGAAAGTGACTGAGCAAGATGATGACGAGGAAGAAGAGGAGTCGAACAAAGAGTGTGCAAATGAAGAAGGAGAGAAAGTAGAAGAATTGAGTGAAGATGGTGGAGAGAAAGAAGCAGAAGTCGAAGAGGAGGAATCGAGTGAAGAATGTGGAGAGAAAAGAGAGGAAGAACAAGAAGAATTGAGTGAAGAGGGTGGAGAGGAAGGAGATGAAGGAGAAGAAGAGTCAAGTGAAGAGACAAAAGGAAAGGATGAGTCAAGTAAAGATGGTGGAGGAAGGAGAGCAAGGAGAGGAGTCAAGTGAAGAGGTGGAGGGAAGGGAAAGGAACCGAGTGAAGAATGTGGAGAGAAAGAAGGAGATAAAGAGGAAAAGCAAGCAAGTGAAGAAAGAGAGAAAGAATAAAAGGGAGAGCAAGCTAGGGAAGGAGAGAAAGATGAAGGGGGAGAGCAAGCAACTGAGCATGTGAAAGGAAAAGTTAGAACCAAAAACATATGAAAGGAAAAAGAGGAAAGCAAAAGCCTCATCTAAAACATCAAGTATTTATGCGAACACATTGAAAACTATAAATCCGAAAGGTGGCATAGTAATAAGTCAATGTCGAGGAGCAAAATGAGGTCGTGGTGGTGAGTAGATGAATATGATAACTGTTGGATTTGAGTTTATTTGATAGAATCAAAACGAGCACAGCCCGTGAGAAGCTTGATCCGTGGAAAGTTTTAGAAACTTTAATAAAAATCTGCATAATATTGAGAGAATATTCTTGATTAATTTTGAAATTCAAATCGGATTCAAATTTACAGAAAATCTATCAATTATGATCGAGATAATATCAAAATAAAATCTAGTTTGAATTTTGAAAATCAAATTGATTTTATTTTGAGATTCTCCCCTCTACTATAAATATGGGTCTTAGGTTAGTTTATTCTACATACAGAAAAAAAAACAAGCATTCTAGAGAAAAAAGAGCATTCACATATTTATTCATATATCTCTAAGAGTTCGCTTGGTATTCGAAAAGCTTCTTCTGAATACGCGGTCGTTGTATCATGGGGGTTCACCGTGCTCCAATAGCCTCGAAGCTTTTGAGGTGGCACGAAAATCGAACTTAAGGAAATTGTGTTTCACATGCCTCGACAAAATAATCTTTTATTTCAGGTATTTATCTGGAATCGTTCGAATTGTCGGAGGTTTGTTGTCGTTAACAACCGCCGTCTCGTTGAATCTTAAGTTCAATTTTCAACTTCATTTTTATAGTGATTAAGCATCTCTATTGCATCATCTTTACTTCTCATTAAGTAGAGATAACAATATCGAGTACAATCATCAATAAAAGTAATGAAGTACTTCTTCCCACCTATGGTTAACGCGAGACAAACTTCTCGGATGCTTAAATCTCTTTCAATTTCGGTATAAAACCTCACACGAATTTGAATCTAAAAAACAACTAGGTTAAAAAAAATGTTGGAATAAAATAGTTGTTTTGTTGTCCAAATATTAATGAGTCTAAGTCCTATTGAATTGAAGACCCAAATTTAATATGAATATTAGCGCAATTAAATTCAAAGAGTTTAGCCCATATTGAAGCCCA